AAGAATGACCGCGGGACATTCGTCCGCGTGACTGAGGTAAATTCATTTTGGTGAAGCATGTAAACAGATCCTACTAGGTAATGTAGGGGGGCTCCGCCCCGACTGGGTTCATGATAGATATGTGCAGTATCTTGCAACCACACAGACTACTTTGCAAAAGCAAATTCTGTTGAATGAAACTTTCCTAAGGGTTCAATGGGATTTCACTGATTCTGTGAGGCTAGTGAATCCTTTTTTGAATTAGTTTTTATGCCTCGGTTAAGAGCTTATTCCAGGCGTTTACCTATTTTTAGAAAAAAGGAAGATGCTTGTAATTTATAGGTGAAGCAGCCGGCTGGTTATCGAACCTCGATAACTATTCCACAATCAGCCCTTGACAAATTCCGCCATCTGCTCGATGATGTTATCGAAGATCTGGCAGCACCTGCAGCAAAGGCGCAGGTGGGAGAGGGCGATGCGTAGAACGTCGGCGAAATAGCGAAGAGGGCGTTTTTCATCTTTAGAGCACTCTCTACCTCAATTTGCTCTCCGATGTATAGTGTTTCCGCTCTCAGAGGTATTGAATGTTGCTGCTACTCGTTATATTTTCCCGATGATAACAGCTCCCGGTTTATTTAGTCTGTCGTGTTTCCAGAGTTTCCCTATCATTCTTTGTTGTTTTCGCGTGGATCTCGTACTTTCGACGTGATCATTCTATAGTTCATCCATAGTTGTGTACGAGGTCGCTGCCGCTCTCTCGCAGTTCTCCCTTTTCCGCAGTGTTTCTAACACTTCTCTCAGTTATGTATGTGTATGCAATACCTGATAGATTCTCCCCTGCAAGCATTTTCTCTTTTACCGGTAGTGATAGTGTTGTTGTGTTTATCTTTTGTAGCGTTGGCATAATAAATTTGTAACAGTCCATTCATATATCTATGTACTTTAACGTTAAACCGTTGCGAGCTATTGGGTAGTGAACGTTTATTGAAATGGGAGATGGGATAATGAATTGTTAAAGGATGGTTGTGCTGATGAATGAAAACCCTTCGGGCTCGGAAAACGCTATTCCGGGCCTCGAGCGAGTTGTTGAAGGATGTCGCCTCATGGTCAAGATGACAACGCAGAATGAGTACAGTGCGTTTTTTTTTCTCGTAACTTTTTCCTGCTACGAGTTCAAGTTCGATTTCGAGTATCAGTTTAACAAAAACGTGTATACAATCCCTTTTCTCCAAGTTAAATTCATAAGCCTTGGGGCGGTCCGATGTTCAATTCAATCATGAGCTGTGTTTCATAGATCTCGTTCCAAAGGTCCAGTTTACCGCAACAAGAGCGAGGCAGTGCTCAGTGTCAGATGCAACAGTAAAAATAAATACGTAAAAAACGGTTTGCTTATTGCAGATGAAAACGGTTTTCTTATTGCACCTGAAGCTGAACACGTCCTAATCCATGCGGGTGCATGAAACTTGGACCTTCGAGGAAAATAATGGGTCGAAGCGTGGGCGATAAATAGGTTTTCCACATAACCCTTTATTTCACAAGAATCACATCAGAATAAACATCAGTGCGAGGTTCTACGAAGAGAGAAGTTGGACTTTGCCATTAAGATGAACGGAAAATGGCATTGCATAGAAAATTGAGTAATATGAGTAAAATATTAATGGAATTACTATTACTCGAGTATTTTTCACAGCGCAGTTTTCTGATGCGCAAAGCATACGAGTTGAATAGCTTGCAATAACCCCGTAATATTCATTAAACTGTATTAATTCTTACCGCGCAGTCCTTAAGCTTCCAATGCTAAGAGTCTTTTCTTCAAATTATTTGTGACTGGATTCACAAACAGAAGCTCGGTACGGATTTTGGTCTTATACGAGCTTAATATCATTCACAATAGATTTGAAATTTTTGTAAAATTTTTCCTCTGTCAGTAGGTCGGGGTAAGGCCTTTCAGATCGACTAGCCCTTGGTTTTCTTATTGTCTATAGATTCCTGACTATAATCTTTTCTTTTAGGAGATGCAGAAGTTCTCCTTGTGAGAAATGATCCGCCTCGATTTTATGTCCATTACATCGATTGCAACAGAAGGTAGTTCTCCATTTTTTATTACCTATCTATTTTATTTCTACAAAGCCTCCCTAACTTTTTATTTATAGGTTGGATGAGTGGGTTCCTGCTGAAAATCTCAATCTTGAGTCGCTACGTATGCCTCAGAAAGGAAAGAAGGGTGGCGTGACACAATCTGTGGAGAGGTGTCAAATTGTTTTCGTTGATTATTTTGGGCTCTACCTTACTCTAAGATTGTTGTTGTAAGCTTCTCTATAGTACTTCGGCGTCGGGATCACCTGAAAGAGAAATGAGCAAGAAAAGTGCCGCGATGCGAAAGCGAAAAGCAGCTACGATGGACGAGGATAGTCAGGATGGTATTAGTCAAAATGGTGGTAAGTCCTTTTCTATAGCTCGAATGGAAGCTAAGTTCAGTTTTGGGTTTGGTATGATCATTATTACATCTATTTAATGCAATCTATGGATTTAGCTCCAAGCATTCGAGGATCCATGTCGATGGTAGGTCACAGTGAAGATGCGCTGACTAGAATCCGTAATATCGAAATGATTGAGCTGGGAAGGTGTGTTAAGGTTTCCCTTTGCAAGCTTTTTTCATTAAGACGTCCGCCTCGGCGCCCCCACATTTTTCAGATGTTTCATAGCAGAATAGCGCTGATTCAGTAGAGCTTACCTTTTCTACATCAACCTGTCACTGTCATTATGATCTTGATGCATTTGTTAGGTTTTTACTCGAAGTTATTGTATATCTTCTCTGCTCAAAAACTTCAGTATGTGTCGTGGTTGGAAGCGAATTGGATAATTTCAAATTTCACACTTTTTCCGTGATGCAGGATACTCCATGAACTTTTTTAAGTCGCTGGCAAAGGTCTACCTCTGTAGATTGCTTGGTTAAATTCGTTGAACTTGCGATGCTTCCAAAAATGGCACTAGGTTCTTAGTGGATCCAATGTGTGGTTTCAATTTTGTTTCAGTATAAATTACAAAAATATTGCGTTTGAGGCATCGAATACAGCCGTGGTACTTCGCTCCTTATCCTCAGCAACTGGTACATTTGCCTTGTATCTATATTTGCGAATTTTGTCTGAAATATGTGAAAAGCCAGACTTGCCTGAAAACACACATGGTGAGATCTCTTTATCACCGAGATTTCCTCCTACAATTCGAGTTGATTTGAGTTTTTTTTTCTAGAAGAAATGCTATTTGAAACACCCTCCTGGTAATGAGATATATCGCAACGAGCAGCTTTCCTTTTTTGAAATCGACGGTCGAAAAAATAAGGTGAGTCCAAACTTACGAAATTGTGTCACGTTGGATATTTAATGGCTGAGGTGGTTAGTGTAGGAAAAGAGTAAGGCTATCATGAAGTCATCTTCTTCTCGCTGTGACTTTTGCAACAGATTCCTTTCTGAAATGTGATAGGTAAAGTATAGTACGAGAAGTATACACTCGAGTCACGACAGCAACAAACGGGTAGGGTAGTGCGTTTGAGGTATGGATTTCCAAGTTCCCTAACCGGCTTTTTCAATCTGCTATAAACATGCATACATTGTGTTTAGCAAGCGTACGCAAATAAATTCAATGAATAAGCGTTACTGTTTAACAAAAAATTTGTTGAGTGTACATTGGATAACTGGAACTTATTTCAAGCTGCCTCAGGTCACGCTCTCGTCTGCGCTCTCTCCTTACCAGCGGCTCATTACTACGATCACCCACACATTCAAACTTTTGCTTGTAGTTGGCTCACCCACCTCGGAGTCCCTCCCCTACAAGGCTTAGTCCTAAGGCTCTCACCTCCTTGGGATTTGGAGCCGAGCCAGGCGCCGTTCTCTATCGTCTGTGCTCTCCGCCATTCGTGGCAGGACCACAGAAGAAAGTTCAAGTAGTCCATATAAGATGACGTGCTTACGTGTTCGTTTTGTTTGTTATTATGGCGTGTTTACAGACGTACGCTCAAAACTTATGTTTGCTTGCAAAGCTATTCCTCGATCACAAAACTCTGTACTATGACACTGACCCCTTCCTGTTCTACGTCTTGGCTTTTTTGGATGATCGAGGATTCCATATTGTCGGATTTTTCTCTAAAGTAAGCGTCGAAATTTTCTTCTAGTTTCTGGTTTGTTGCTTGAAGTCATGTTTTTTGACCTGAGGTTGAGTTCTTGGACCTATTATATATAATATATTTTTATTCATTCAAGGAGAAGGAATCCGCCGAAGAATATAACGTTGCATGCATATTAGTCTTACCTCCATACCAAAAGATGGGATATGGAAGATTATTGATAGAATTCAGGTGAGTAGAAAGATTTTTGTTGCCCATACCTCTTTGGTTCGAATTTTTGTGTATGAACGAGCTCCGTATATAATCAGATAGTTGCGGATGGCTCCATCTTAGCTTTCCATTTGTCTTTGAGTCGCAAGAGTTTTTCTACTTGTGGTCTACTGCTCCTATTTTTTTCTTACAACAGAGTCGCGTTTCAATTTTCTTATGAAAGTAATGAAAGCAAGATTTTTTGATATTTTCCACAAAAACTTTTCCTTAAAAGTCGAAAGATCATCAGAGAATAATGCAGTGAAATTTCAGTTATGAACTTTCGAAGGTGGAAGGCAAAACGGGTTCCCCGGAGAAGCCCTTGTCTGATCTGGGATTGGTAAGTTAAATTTGAAGATTGGTTCAAAGATCGTTGTTGAAAACCGTCATTAAGAACTCAGAATGTGAATGTGACTATGAATTTTATACGCCCCCACTATTTCTTCGAGATCCTGTGCCTTGCCAGTTCTCATCATTTGTAGAATCGAGTTCTGTTTCCTCCATGGTTTTCTCCTGCAGTGTTTCAGAACATAAGCAATAAGTGGTTGGTACGTACCTTTGCCACGATCCCTTCAAAACAGCCATGTTGTCGTTTCACGAGTTTGTTGCCGCATGCGTATTTTCAGTAATATGGGGCGGGAAAGGGGTTGGATTTCTAACTTTGGTCTCGCCTTTCAAAAATCCATGACTTTGTTCTCTCCTCGTCTGCTAGCCTTTGTTATTTTTTTCTGTGTCTTAGGACATTTTGGAACAGGATTCTTTCACAGTGTTTTTACATACTATATACGTTTTATGGTTATTTCATTATATTTCGGTGGGTTCGTCATCCTCAAAAGTCGAGGGCTCGAATCTTCTTAGAATGTTATCCATCTCGCTTATCACAGTCCCGCTTTTGATCAGATTCAACTCCAATCTACCAAGTGAAGCATTAAAATGGAATGGGAAGCTTAAAGGCAGCGATTACGATAGATCTCAAAGGGGTTTAGAGGGGTGGGGGGGTCTCAATAGTACGCCAATGGCGAAAAAAGCAAAGAAATCCGTCAAAAATAAGCAAAATACCCCTTTGATTGCCCTTTCATTTTCGACCATGGATGAGCGACGGTAAAGAACGACGTTGTTCGGACGTGTTAACCCCGATAGCCGCCATCATGCCAACAAGCATAGTGTTTTGATTGATAAGGCATTACATGGGCAAGTTGGAAGATACAGCCGATAAAGGGAAACGATCCCAAAATGAAAAGCCAACAGCAGACAGCTCGCCCAAGTCATCTGAACAAGTGGGCGTAACGCTGCTGGAGGCGGAGTGCTGCGGAGGGAGGTCCTGCTCAGCAACCACAGCACCTTTCGCCGTGGAAGCGCCACAGACATCACTTCCTGGGAAGCTTAAAGGCAGCGATTACGATAGATCTCAAAGGGGTTTAGAGGGGACGTGGGGGTCTCAATAGTACGCCAATGGCGAAAAAAGCAAAGAAATCCGTCAAAAATAAGCAAAATGTACCCCTTTGATTGCCCTTTCATTTTCGACCATGGATGAGCGACGGTAAAGAACGACGTTGTTCGGACGTGTTAACCCCGATAGCCGCCATCATGCCAACAAGCATAGTGTTTGATTGATAAGGCATTACATGGGCAAGTTGGAAGATACAGCCGATAAAAGGGAAACGATCCCAAAATGAAAAGCCAACAGCAGACAGCTCGCCCAAGTCATCTGAACAAGTGGGCGTAACGCTGCTGGAGGCGGAGTGCTGCGGAGGTCCTGCTCAGCAACCACAGCACCTTTCGCCGTGGAAGGCCACACATCGCTTCCTTGGCAGCCAAGTAATTGCTCCGTGTGGCGCAGGTTCTCCCCCGATGCGAAAATTCCTTATCGTAATCGCTTCCTTTAACAGTGAGCTCAGCCCTGCACGCGTTAGCTGTCGCAGACTTCGGGAGCTTTTGCAGTAGTAACACCCAGCTGAGAGTGTCTTCCGATCGTTAGTGGCGGCTCTGCCTGTTTCAACTGGATTTACTCTACCTTATGCCTTGCTTGTTTCACACTTTTTTCTGCTTTTTATTAGGTTGTCTTAGAATCGAGTCCGAACTTTTCAGCAAATGCCGTGCATTAGGAGGACGCCCTGTCTCCAGCTCTTCATCTCGTCCACAAGCCCGCTACTCGCCTTTTGGCTCTATTTCCCTGTATCTATTCTACTCCTAAACCGGCTCAGGAATTCTCGCCTGTCTCGGTCTACTCTAGAGGTTTACGAACCACATGAACTTCTTCTGTGATCCTGCCACGAATGGCTAGAGCACAGGCGATTAGAAAACGGAGCTGAACAAAAGCAACTTAAATTGATTAGCAAACGAGCCGAGGAGGAAGGGAGAGCCCTATGACTATGCCTTGGCGGGCAGGGATTCTGGGCTGGCTGAGCCAAATACACTGTAGCAAAAGCTTGAATGTGTGAGAGCACAGCAGTCATGAGCTGCTGTGATCTCCACTCTGCCATCATGGTTGGGATCGGGTTTTTTTAGTCTGGAATGAGTCCAAAAGTCTGTAGCTTCATGTCTATGTGATGATGATAAAATCAACTGTACAAGGCTGGTGTCAGAGGTTGCTATCCGTCGCGCGAATCGCAAAATTGCAAGTGCCCCATTGAACATTTGAAACACTGAATATGAAACAAGTAGAATCATGAACAGTCGTCATTCAACCATCACCATCAAGCAGAAATGGCGGCGGGATTGGAGAGCACCTCGCAGTATTGATCGGGCACTTGTGATTTCTGTAATCTGTCGCGCAATTCCCGATCGCAAACTCTGACAACAGCCTACATGCTCTAGCGCGTGATGCACGTAACGACTCTGGTCGTTGGTTATCGAGCAGTGCATAGATTTTCAATCAAGCCCTCTATAGCAAAAAGTAACACAGAGAAGAGCACGTAGTCATGCTTGTTAATTCTGGTTCTTGGTCGTAAATGAACTTTTAGCTGTCCTATCGAAGTTTCTGGTCTGCCACGATCATAGAGAAACTAATGCGATTTAAAGAGGAGGAGATGTCAGCTGGAGAGGAGCGAGCCATTTCTGTGATGGATCTCTCTCAGATGACGTCGATTCGAAAAGAAGATGTAATATCCACACTGCAGGTGAGATCACTTTGCGATTTTTTTTTGAAGAACAGTGTGCATTTGCTTCACAACTAGCAAACAGTAGCCAATAGCATTAGTAAATTATGAAGGTCATCAATCGTCAACAATCGGTGGTCATTTTAATCGGTACTCCATTTTTCTAGTCCTTTTAGTAATTTTTCTGGAGGCCTTTCTTGGTTCTCTACATTCATATTTAAGATTTTTCAGATAAGATTTCCTTTCAGCATCTCAACCTTTACAAGTATTACCGCGGACAATATGTAATTGTTATTACGGATGAATTGAAGAACGCGTATCGGAGAATGTGTGAGAAAATAACCGTACGTATTGATCCGTCCAAATTGCGTTGGCAGCCAAAGGACTGGAGTAGACGTAAACTCTAGTTTTAGTTGTACAGTACGCTTAAATGTGATCTCATCCTGGTCAGACTTCATGCTAGTACCAGGTTCCACATAGTTTGTATTCTGTTGTACATTTTTCCACTGTCTGTGCTAGAGTGAGGGGAGTTGAAATAAACTTAATTGTTGTTGCCCCAAGAAAGATTGAATGTATAGATATATGGTTTGCTCGCAGGCGATCCCAGTGGCATTGTCATTGGAGTCTCTTCTTTGGTCGTTGTATCTTCTTTTCTGGATTTCTCGCTATTATATTTTCAATAGTGATCCTTTTTTTTTTTGATGACCAAAATGTTATCAATGTATGTTTTTTGTCGCTGTGCTTTTTAAATTTTTTTAGGATCGATAAAACATTATAAAACTACTTGGCTTACAAGGTTTATGCGAAGTTGATTGCGTATTCACTCACTGGTTATGTTTACATCTCAGATGTTCATGTGCATGTTTTATTGTGTTCTTTTCTTTCACTAGATTGCATAAGAATCGCAAACTTCCGTCATAGTGTTCTCATTGTTTCTTTTGTGGAATTCTCTCGCACCCTTATCGCGAGGTCGCAATCTCTCCAGTTTTTTACTATGAGAGGTATCGTAAAATGTAATAAGAAACTAGCAATTAGGCTACGTTTTTTCCCAAGTATATGGGTTCTGGTTGTTCTACATGGAGGGCGTCGAATTATCGTTGATCATAACTGTACTATGAGTGTTTTTCCCTCTTCGGTTGAACGATTCGATGCAAGGGTGAGAGCGCTGCGTAGTTTAGCAGTTTTTCGTTTCTAGTCAGTGTAAGCAACGGTACTCATTAGCTTCGTTTACATGCACTTCTCCGTGGAGAGTCTTCGTGTTGCTGTGGCTGTGCCCATCCTACGCCCTATATTCTCCCCACAATCCATTTTGTAGGCGCTCAATGTGAATTTGGGATCCTTCTTTGTATCATTCTTGAAGGTTTGTATGTTTATATGTGATGGTTTGGAGAAGGTCGTTTCTACTTGCAACGCGGAAGAGGCTATAGTAGAGTGTTCAATCAGAGCAGCGGGCGTCATTAGAAGAGCTAAGATGTGTACCAAGTCATTGCATGATTGGAATGCTGATAAGGACTGGGGCGTTATTGCAAGGCGCAGAACAGGCATTCCTCATTATTACGTGGTGGAATTTGTACTGCTGTGATTGATGGGTTGCCTTTCCGGGACGCCTTCAATGTCGCATGCTGTGGCGCCCCGCTCCCCATCTTCATTGATTACTTAATTTATTATGTGAAAGTTTAATAAGAAGCAGTAAGCTTTCGCACACTTTTTTGTAGGTTCCTTCATGAATTTGGCCTTCTTGGGGAGTCTTTATTATTATACATAAAACTCCTTCAGTCTGCTTCATCATTACCGGCGCGGAGCTCCAGCAATCATTTTCGATTAACCATTACAGCGAATTTTTCGAAATTCAGATGTTAGGAAAATTTTTATTCTTGCTCACATGAAGATACCATTTTTCCTGGTTTATTCTGTTTTTGTAGAGTAGTCTTGAGCCTACGAGTTGTAGGCTTGGTTATACGAATCAGTGCGGTCGATTCGCTTGCCGATTTCAACTGTTATCAATTCGCCACTTCCTGGCCGAATGTTCTTTGCTCTCTCCAAAAGATTATAAGTTTAATTTGCTCTTCTCCTAATCAGGCTAAAGTACACCAAGTTCTTCCCTTAGTGACAACAGCACTGCCACTTTTGGTGACAACATCATAGGTTGACGGTGTGGACAGACTGGGAGGAATCTTCCATTACACTCAAAAACGCCCTTAAAGGGTACCTATTCTCCCAACTAATTTCACAAACGACTTGCTCTTCTTCTTCAATCTCTTCTACAACTACTTCCCCACTCTTATCCCCGCACAAAATTAACACTATGAACAGCACCTGTGCGCAGCGTAGGCTCATGGGACGTCATCTTCATTGGGTGTTGTCACGGGAAACGTAGTCAACTGTGTTCTTCTCTGAATGCTACAACATTTCATGCAATTCTTCCAAACATTGTCACTGTCCACATCATTTACTTTCCTCATCTATCGAAGCGGAATGATGTCACTGATTTACCTTCCGCAATAGGAGTGAGAGCGGCTATTCCTGTTGAATGATAAGATGAATCCACAACTTGTGAAGGTTATGAATGTCGTTGTTAAAACTATCGGGAGCTCCCAGCTATAGCCTAGCTTCGCCTTACTGACTTCTTCAGAAACAGCTTCCATAAACTGTGGGCGAAGTGAGGTTCTAATTTGTGAGTTCATTCTATCTTACTGGAAGACAATCTTTGAAGAATTAAGTGAATTATTTGTCGGTATCCGCATTTAGCTCGTTTAAATCCTTAGCAACGGCTGATAATCCAAGTTTCAACCAGCTTTAGAACCTGGGCTGAAGTGAGCGTTTGTGTAGTCCCTGGAAGGCGTCCACAGAAAGTGCAGAATTTGATGGTATGGTTTGTTTGAGTAGTGAACGCCTGTGTCAGACTGTAAAATGTGTGCGAATTTCCACCAAGCTCAGGAAATTAGAAAAGTATCTGGAACCGATGTCCAATTATAGGGCCTTTTTGACATTTTGGGTTGGTCACCTTTACCCACCTTTATCCTGGTGCTCCAGTATTTCGAAATATCCCAAATATAGTACGTTGCTCAATTTCATTTTAAAAACAGTGAATAGTTTTAAAACTCGTGACTTCGACCGATTTAGCTAAGTATTATTACGGCCTCCTTGTTTACGAAGTGTCTTGATCTTGGAACTCTCTTGACATTTGCTCTCAGCTTCCACGCCCATACTTTTTCATGCATAGTGGTCTTTGTTCGGCATTAACATCTGCTGTTGTTGACGGAAGCGAAAACAGGCTAGAGCAAAGTATGCAGAGGTGTTTTTATATAATTTCTAATGC